CATTAAATTAAGTTCCATGGGGCTTGTTGGAGCAAAAAAAAGCACCTTTTCTGTGTAAATTCCTAGAATGGTTGAATTAATAACTTTACTGTATATTATACATGACAGTTTTTGACCGGAAAATTGCTGGAGATGATGTTCTAGTAATGAAATATTCATTGCACTAGCTTGGCTGTAGGCAACAATATATATCAATTATAACATTAAGAGCATAGTGAATGATACGTAGTCCAATTTACACCATAGCAATTACTAAAATTGCAATAAAGCGTCTCCTATTGTATCGCATGGATGAATCCTATTGAAGAACTACAAATTAATGAAGAAAAATGATTTACAAAAAAATCATAATAAACAATGAAAAACCCAAGTACCATAAGAACTTACTTCATGAACACAAACCAGCTTGATACACGATCAAGTGCTATAGTTATATACCAAAACCTAAGACTGACTATACAGATAAATTGTAAAATTTAAGTTATATTTCATGTTTGCACTACTGTACTCCGTTCCAGAGGTTTTTTTTTTTTTTTTTTTAATAAATGAAATGAAATATAAAACAGCAGTTTTACTTACAGTGGAGCTGTAATATAACAATTAAAGTTTATATTTTTATTATTTTATATTTTTATTATTATATATTTTAGTGCTGTTTGTATTTAGTTTAATTTTGATAATCTTGTTATTATTTCTCACTACCCCGACTCTCTCACCTTCAAACATCTGTATGCTCTTACTAATTGTCTCAAATTCTCAACTATCCATCGTTTCCTTGTTATCTAGTCCTCTCTTCAGTTTGAACCCAAAGATTCTGCTGTCTTCTGTTTTCTCACAGTTTTGTTAAGGCACAGGTAAAACAATTTTTATTTGACTCATAAATGTTATTATTGTTCTTTTATGTAATTTCATCATTTTTTTTAACTGTGTGTAAAATTTGTGTATATCATAATTTATCTTCACCTTTTACTTTTTTACATTTTTGAATGTTTTTGTATTATAGCTAAGCATGCAGTGAAGCTTAGTTTATATGGGGCTCCAGGCTATTGTCATGGTTATTTTGCTGCTTTTGGGACTCCAAGGCACTTATCTGAATTAATAAATGAAATACAAATGGTATATTGTATGATTATGTATAGTTTCTATAAATTGTTTGTTGATATTTGGTTTGTGTACGACTTACTGTAAATTTAAATTAGATTAGCAAAGGACAAGTGTATTAATTTGGATACAGATGCGAGGCTACTCAGATGAAGGCCACAGGAGTGCCAGAAAAAAATATCTTAGAAATAAAATTGTTTTATATGTTAAAACAATTGTGTACTGTTGTTTCTTTCTCACAACAAGAAGGTACAGTTTCTGATTTCATACCCTTAGCTCAGACTGGAGTTTTTCTTATACCTTCTTTTAATTTTATTTTATTAATATTTATTTGTTCTTTTTTACCATGGGTAGACTGATCAGTGCTTAGCAACACATACAATAAAATAAAAATCGAGAGAAACATACCGAAACAATCAATAAAGACTATAGAAATTTAAAACATTAAAAGATAAATTCAACAATGGTTCTATATCCTTAGTTACCTTTTATTTATTACTGTAATGTTATTAACACTTTGTAACACTGCCAGTGGAATGTAATTTCTGAGTTTTTCAGACAATTAAAGAATCTTGAATCAATGAAAAGAATTATATTTTCATTACCATTAACAACAACAACAACAACAACAACAAACAATAATAATAATAACAATAATAATAATAATAATAATAATAATAATAATAATAATAATAATACAGTAATAATAATAACAAAAATAATAATTATATAATATATATTTTTTTTTTTAAAGATCATAGGAGTAGGGCAGATAAACATTATTTTTTTGGCAAGAGCACCTAAGCATGAGCAGACAAAATAAACTTTTATTATTCTTATTATTATGACAAATACAACTTCGTGAGGTAAAAATAATAGAAGGTGCATTTATATATTTCATGGTTGTAAAAATGCAATGTAACAGTTCAGTATGATTTAGGGGTCGTTCACAATTATCAACATTTTTTTACAAGTGTACCAACAGTACTCTTTTTCGGTACCCCCTCTCTCCCCTCTGAAAGTGTACATACAAAATGTTGATTTTGCAAAACCATTCTCCATTTTTTGTGAAGTCAACTAAAGTAGGCCTACTGTGCTTGGTTACTTAAAAATGCATATCATATACATGATTACATTATAATTAGTCATAAAAATCTATTATTCTAAATAATGCATATTATTTTGAATCAACACTTTCATGCATATGTAAAAGTGTACAAAGCGCACTGTTTGTAAACTTGTGAAAATGATTGATAATTGTGAACGACTATTTATATTCCATATCCGAGAAGTCTTGAGTGCCTTGAGCACTACTGCAGTGGATTTGTACGCTTTATAAATCTTATTATTATTTATTATTATTATTATTATTACTTATTCTACCACAAGAACTATGGGTGAACTTTACTACTAAATTGACCTTTCCGCTAAGCCCCGCCCCTTGGATACTGTTGCTAAGGTCCCACAAAACGACCGTGTAAAAACATGACATGCGCATATTTGTGGCCCTGTTTAAATTGTTCAGTTGTTCAGTTGGATTGACAACCCGAAAAGGTCCATCGGCTCAATGGCTGCACGTCTTGCTATTGCCCTGCTTTAACCGTCATGTACATCTACTCAACACTCATTACCACATTCTTCAATAAAGAAGGCTTCAGAGTCGAATAGTAATACAGCTCCCTCCAATTAAAGACCACATTTGGGAATGGGGATTTTTCAAGGTCTTTTTAGCAGCTTTGGTCTCTAATTAGGATAATAAAAATGTAATAAAGACATTTGTTAAATTGGGACCACAGAAAAGTGGTCTTTAATTGGAGGTGGTCTTTAATTAGAGGAAGACCTCTAATTACATTTAAAACATGACATCTGTAAAAGAGGAACAGTCAAATTTTTCACCACAATGCTTCTTAAGTTCATCTGAACTTTATTTAAGCCATGAGAAAAATAAATACTGTTGAAGAAATAACAGAAACTGTTCTTAAAGATTAGGGATTCCATTCCAAGAAAAACAAGTTTACATGGTGTAAATAAAACAGTTCCGCAATTAAGAATAAAAAATAGGCCTAGTTACTTAGTATCCTGGTTCAATACAGTACTGTGACTTTTTTAATAACCTTATTATATAATGAAGGAATGCTAACCTTCAAATCGCCAAGTATACACCATTTTATCAGTATTTTGGAACAGCGCCACCAACTTCTCCTAACTTTTCGCTGGGGAAAATCCAGCAGCCTAGTCTGAGCATATTTCATTTTTCGAGAAATGTATCTTTTTTTGAGTACTTCAACATCCATATATTCTTTTTTTTTGCTTTGGCACTTTTGTTTTCAAAGACTAATCTAGGACTGTACAACTACAAGGTTGAGCACTAGTTACAGAGCACAGAAAAACACTGGTAACTACATACAGCGAAATGTCTCAGCCTCTGGATGGCCCCTAGTAGTTGCCAAGTTCTCGGAAACTTTTATTTCAAATTTAGTGAAAATGGTGTATATTTAATGATGCAGTATTCAAGAGCATATATAATGAATGTTTTATGAAATGATTTTGTTGAAACAATGACATATCTAATATGTAATATAAAAGAATTTAAAATAAAATAAATGTAAAGAATAAACTAAGGTAGATTCTAGGAAACAATATATATATATATATATATATATATATATATATATAAAATATATATATATACATATATATCTCTCTCTTATACACATCTAGATGTGTATAAGAGACAGAAGTAATACTGACAGATACAGAAACATCTTTCTGTGTTCTCTGTATGGGAAATTATGCCGCGAAATATGAATCAAGAATACTTATTGTCATCTAACAAATAAGTAAACAATGAAATTTGTTTTGCTAGTTGCTTAAATAATAATAATAATAGTAGATTGATTTATATAGCGCAAACACTAAAAATTACATAAACATAATGAAACAGAATATAAATATATAATTAACATTAAGACTAAAAGATATGACAAATATAAAAATATTGCATGAGTGAGTAAATGCATTGACAAGTTATATTAGCATTAATTTGAATAAAATTACAAGTTTCAAGGTATATGGCATAAACAAATATACAAGACAAAATAAAGTATATTATAAATAAGATAAATTATATAATGAACAGAGAATATGCGTTAAGATCACTTAGTACTGCATACATAGTTATCCGTTAAATAAGGCATTTAATAAATGGATTGCATTTGGTAGGAATGATCTGTACAGTTTAGTGTGACATGGCATTTGCCTAGCCTACCAGCTGAGTGATAATACTACAGCGTAATAGGTGGCTTACGTCTTTTATCTTTATCAAGCATTTTCAGGGCTCTATTTACATTCAACTGTGAAAGATCAACTATATATATATTCAAATTTTTATATGCCTAATTAAATATAATTGTTTTTATCTACCAGAAAATACCAGAGTGTCATAATTACATTACGATATATGAATTGTTTAATAAACCAAAGTATAAGCTTAAGGAATGAACTTGTTTTGTGTGTGGGAGAAAACAGTATTTTTACAGGAATTGGCACAAAGACCCTGGATTTCAAATGCAGAGTCTTAAGTACTAATCTATGTATAGTTCTTACAACCAGATTAATAATAAACAACTCACAAAAAGCAGTTTATGGTAAGTATAGGAGTTGCTGGCCAATCAGGATAATTCATGCTTCTAGCTATACAAAAATTACCATGCATTGTAATTCAGCGATAATTAACATATAAATGCGAGCAAGCATTAACAAGAAACACACCAGAGTGCATTTTCAACTGATGGTGCATTTTTATTGGTCGAAGATGAAAAAAGATCCTCAATGAATTGTAATAAGAATAAAGTGGGCAGGTTATAAATAGATGACGACAGCAACTTCCTGGATTGTTATCAACATTTATAAGGCATTGTTTTTCACCATTGCTCAGCAATTACTCCTGGGCCTCACACAGTAATACAATACTGTCTTCATACAGAATGGGAGACTCAGAACATCATAATCATAACCTTACTTTCAGCAGTATGGACTTAGAGCTAAAAGTTGGTGTAATCTGCCATATTACTTTTTTAATCATCATAAGCATTGTTGGACTATTTGGGAACCTGTTGACAATCATTGCAATACTCCGGACTAATAAACTGCGGATCACTGCTAATTATTTCCTTGTGAATTTGGCTATTGCTGATGTAGTTATTTGCACGTTTGTTTGTCCCTTTTACTTACTAGCGTTATTTCACCGCAAATGGCCGTTAGCAGATCGCTTTTGTGCTGCGATTGGCGGAATATCATGCATTGTACTGGCAGCGTCCGTCTTAAGCCTCCTAGCTATATCGATAAACAGATACTTCTGTATAGTGAAGAATAAACTCTATGCTAAATATTACAGCACGCAGCGAACTATTTGGCACTGTGTTATTGTATGGATTGCATCGGTGATCTCAATATCGCCCACACTTGGCGGCTTAGGTGAGTTTGGATTCAATGAACATATTCTAGTTTGTGGATATAAGATTACTTATGAGTCTTGGAAGTGTCAAATTGCTACAATGATAATCATTTTTATTGTCTCTACTTCAACAATCCTTTTTTGCTATTATAACATTTGGAAAGAAGTCTATAACAGTTCTAATCGTACTAAACGCAAAGCAAGTACGGTAAGCCAGATAAGCTTAAGTGGGTCAACAAGTGATATTTATAATAAAAAACATAGCTTAACTGGGACAATAAATGATAACAATAGAAAACTTAGCTTATCTGGGACAATAAATGATAACAATAGAAAACTTGGCTTTTCTGGGACAACAAATGATAATAGAAAACTTAGCTTAGCTGGGACAATAAATGATAACAATAGAAAACTCGGCAAACTACGCAGCCAATTGTCAATGATGAAATTAGTTCCACGTACGCGCGACATTCAAGTAGCAAAAACTTCGCTCATCGTGCTACTCACGTTTATGATATGTTGGACACCGACAGTTATACAAGTTGTTTTTGATAGAAACTTCAAAACTCCAGATGGGGTTGTACAGGCATTTGCTTTCCTGGCACTGGCCAATTCCAGCATCAACCCTTTCATATATGCCTGGCGGAATCGTCATTTCCGCAAAGCGTACAAGCGTATCATTACATGTCGACACTGCTTTGGGAATGCGGTTGATGACATTTCCCACGGTGATTCAACGCATATATAGGTGGCTTCTGGGACTGATGATGATTTCTAAATCTTTTGAAGTTTTAATTGGACTAAAGAGATTGCCTGGTTTTCTTACAACTCCATTTGAAATAGCTTTCAATCAAGAGTTTTCAGGATATTTGCGGGGATAACAGGCAGTTTTCGCAGCACGACGTTAACCTTAACGTTAACGGAAGACGTCATAATTTATTCATCTTGCATTGCGGAGTACGTTAATTTCAGGATTTTACGTGCTGCATGTTGGGTACTAATGTTAAAGTTAAGCTTAACGTCGTGCGGCGAAAACTACCTATTAACTGCTGGTAATGGGACTAAATGTTAACCATACCAAATAGCCTACACAAGAAGCTTATTGAACACTGGTGATTGTATCAAGGCATGAGATTACAAATAGGCCTATTGATTGTGAATGTGGGCTCATGCTACTACTGTATAGAGTTTCAATAAAGGTAGTTAGTGAAAAAGTCAATTTTTTTATATCTGTTTTCTATATTTCTTTGGTATACAGAGCGAAAGCAATGCCAAAAAAAAAAACACTTCATAATTTTGCATGTCATCCTTGTTTTGTTTTAATTTTAAATAAAAAAAATAAACAAATGAATAATAGCCTACAATAGTTATCTTTTCCACAGTAATAATATTTGAAGTGAAATATATTGAACATAGGGTTTAAATGAGGTACATAGTTAAGTCAAATTTTTAATCTATTAATAATAATTTTTATTTGTTGATTCAATAAAAAATATAAATGAATATGTAACTGAATGAGTGAATGAATAAATAAATAAATTAATTAATTAATAACAGAACAAATGAATAAATTAAACAAATCTATATAAGTAAAATGATTAAACGAGTCGCAAATCATCAGCGTAGTGCTCAATCGCAATTAAACCAGAGCGAATTAAAACAAAAATATGTGGTTCAACAGTAGGTTTGATTAGACATTTTATTACCTGTCTCTTATACACATCTAGATGTGTATAAGAGACAGAAATATTACAGCACGCAGCGAACTATTTGGCACTGTGTTATTGTATGGATTGCATCGGTGATCTCAATATCGCCCACACTTGGCGGCTTAGGTGAGTTTGGATTCAATGAACATATTCTAGTTTGTGGATATAAGATGCAATGCTATTTTGATGTGTGTTTGCATTGTTTTTGTAAGTATCTCAGAATATAATGAGTATTCAGTATGATAACATGTCAGGTTGGGCAAAACTTCACTCCTATGATATTTTCCAGACGCAAACACATCGAGATGACATCATTAATAAATATTGTAATTCTCTATATCATATAATCAATTAGCTGCAAGCTAAAACTTTTATAATAGCTGTTCTACATATTCTATAAAATACTGTATAATGCAATTTTTTATTTTATAGTGCACACTGTCATTTAAGAATAACACTTGAGGCATTCATTTGTGTCTATTTTCTCAATAATCAAATTTCTGTGCATGGATTTACATGATATAATTTTTCCATGCTTTCATGATCCCATTTTTATTAAAATACAAATTTAACAAAGGCAGATAATAACTTAGAATTTGTATAGTGTACATATCAATATCAGAGAAATAATCAATATCAGAGAAATCTAAGGAGTGACGTAAACCATTATGGTTCAAAATTTCAATATATCAAATTTTGTTCATTTTTAGGATAACGAACTTAAAAGATAGGCGAAGTCCACATTTCTCCTAAACAATGAAAAATAACAGGTTATTTTTCAAATGTGTTTCTACTCAAGAAACCATAATAGAATAACAATGGTTTTACCCACTTATATGCTTGGCTCTCGTTTATGTGTGCAAAATTTAACCATGTTTTCAATAACCATTTTATATAAGCGATTAAAATCTTGCAGAAAACCCTAAAAGCCCTAAAAGGCAGAACACTGAAATACAACAATACTAAAGGAAAAAAAATGGCAAGGTCTTAATTCATACACATAATTGACAAGCAGAGGCTAAAATGTAAGCAAGCAAGCAAAGAGTATGGAAATGCAAGTGGTCCGACTCTCCAGGTTTCTCTGAAATGGAATCCTACCTCAAAAAATTACTACCGCAAACTAGAGGGCGATCTTTAAAAGAACCTAACAGGCATTCCTATCAAAAGTGTGCTGCATTCAACAGACCCACAAAGCGAAGAAACAATTTCTGTTTCTTTGTTCTATGTTTAATGAGTTCTTAATGGGGCGTCTCCTATTTTGTGGTAATACTTCCCTTTTCGTTTCATTTCACGAAAAAAAGGAGCCCAACATCTTGATGCATGTTAAACAGCCGGAGAAAACTGAATCTTTTGGACAACATCTTTCATAAGTAGTAATGGTTGTGATTGACACATTCAAGTGTTGAAAATCATATTGATTTGATTTTAATTAGTTAAAAGCTTAGAAACTGTCAGTGTAGAGCTAAAAAGCCTGACAAATTAAATTCAATATTTTATTTGCTTACCTTACGTTCTTTACCTTACCTATCCTCTTTGTGCCTCTACCTACTTCATATATATATAATTAAGTTACAGACTTCCAATTTAAAATTAGAGTGAAAGCTTTCAAATATACATTTGTACAACAAAAGGTTTCCCAGACCAATTAACAAAAATTGCATTTGTACAACAAAAGGTTTCCCAGACCAATTAACAGAAATTGCTGTTAATCAATTTAATATTTTTTGTAGTAAAATGTAAATTGTCTGATTCATGCTTTACTGAAAGCTATTTACGTATTTGATTCTTTTAAATTTACAATTTGTTTAATTGAATTTTTGTGGGCTTTTTGAATTTCACCAAATGGCATTTTAATAATTTCTGAAATGAACAATTCACTAGTGTATTAGCAAGGCTGAAAAATAAGGCATTGCAATATTTGCATTCTTTTTAAGGGTTTTTTTTTATATCACTAAAAATATTTTTCTTAAGCCTTCTATATGTTAATAAAATTTTATGTACAAATAAACCGGATCTAATGTGTTATCTATTTATTACCAGAAAAATGTTGTTCTTTTGCTTCATAGACAGAACAGTACTGCATATTTGAGGCTTGGCTATCCTAAACTAGAATCAGTTACAATATAAAAGGAAATTGGCTTTTTAATATATTCTTATTCTCCTCATTATAAGAAAAGTGATGGGTCATTTACTTGAATAAAAAAAAAATTGCTAATTACTATATTTTTAGGGGAAAAGGATTGGTCCATGTGTAAATTACTCAGTTTAACAATTAGTAACAGTATGCCGGTTTTAGAATGGCAAGGCCTCATATATTTCTGTTTGTTTTACCTGAAGTGAAGAAAGAAAGCTGTTTTATCCTATATAAGTTTCTTCTTATATATCTGCAAGTCAATACATTTTGAAAAGATAATTATGGGAGTAGTAATATGTAGCAACTACCTTGAGTAGTGGGGGGGGGGGAGATTGAAGGGGGAGGACGATTGAGGATGGATCTGAGCGGAACTGACCTTGAGTATGGCTGAAGGAGGTGGTCTACAAAAGGATTGCAGAAAAAAATTGAATTAGCAAAATTAAGGAAAAATTTGACTAAACATTCAATCATTACACACAGAAATCGGGGTGAGCTGACCGCCTTGTCAGGAAGAAAAACACACTTTATCGGGGAGAAGAAATTCAAATTCAAATTCAAATTCAAAAATACTTTATTATCCAAAAGGAAATTCGCTTGGTTATGGTACATATAAAATATTTAAAAATTAAAAATTATAAAACATTAAAACATTTAAGTACAGTACTGATATATGAAAGACAGTTGTTAAGAATAAGATCAAAAACATGCAAAATGAACAAAGAAAAAGGACAACACAATACTATATGTTCCCCTTCCTGTAGGCCTACTGTATTTTTTACATATTAGTACTCTGTAATAGATAATAAAATCCATAACTGTCGTAATTTTTGGGGGATATGCATCCAAGGGATTTTGAGCGATGCCACACCAAGCCCACTTACGCTCTCATTGGGGAATCAGCAAAATTGTGGGAAAATTTGACTAAACATTCAATCATAACAAACAGGAATCGGGGCGAGCAGGCCCCACTGTCAGGAAGAAAAACACACTTCATCGGCCCCCTCAGGCAAATCCTGGCACCATCCCTGAAATATTTTCAATTCAAAAGTAATTTAGAATCAATGATACAGCAGATTATAATATAAAAAAAGAAAGCAGAAATATTGTAACTTAAATAACAAAATAAATAATTAGATGTTAGTTATTTTTAAACAATTAGAAAGGATTTACTGTACTGAATAAATAAAGGCATCTTTTTTATAGAAAGGGATCACAAGTATTACGAATGTAAGAAAGATTGTTCCAAATATAAGCAGCTCTTGTATGAAAGTACGCTCACCAGAATTTGAAATTTAAGTACTAGATATTTGATCCCCAGTAGGGTAAGAACAGAATGGGTAAAGGTGATGCATAATGTGACTTTAAGATATGAGGGAAAAACCCCAAAAAACAGCAAAGCAGAGTAATGCATGTAATTTGATCACATACATTATAGCAGATAGTGACTTAGCAATACATCAAGCAACAACTGATTATTATAACTATGTTTTATTCAGACAATAAATCAACATGAAAACTTAGTTGCACATCTGTCTACTGCTACTGCTGTTACTACTACTGTACTAACTTCTACCAACTGATAAGTTCTTTGGTGTAAATTTAAAAATGTTCTTCAATCATGTGACAATGAGAAACAAAGAGAATTTGTGGCGATTATGAAAAATCTGCATCTGTCATAGTCCGAGTCTATATTGAAATTTGTGACAAAACAAGTTTACATGTACAAACATACTTTACAAATACAAAAATTCTATCAAGTCATACATCATCAAAATTGTGTGGCTAATAAATTGGCGAGAAAATATTAGGGGAAGAGTAATCTCGTTGTCGGCAATTGGACAGCACTTTTTATTGCCTCTGCCAAGTGCGAGTTTTCCGGTCCGCTTTTTGCATGGGGTAGTATAGTTCAGGGGGGGCACTCCCATTATACAATCGAGTGCACTGCAGGCAACATAAACACAACAAACATAATATGCACATATACTATTATTTGAAATGGTATGATATGTGTGAAAATTGAGCAAAAGTGGAAGTTTATTTTATGCAAGTCAACTGCATCTGAAAGTTCATCAAGGACAATAAAAAACCAATACTGTATATCCTGATTTGGTGTATCGAGGTCAAATTTCAGACACTTGAAATATATTATTACATGCGTGTGAAGGTCTTAAGAGACTTTCCCCAGCTAGCAAAGCGACGTTGGCCCAACGTTGGTAAACGTTGGCAAGCGTCGGTAAGCGTCGGGGTCGGATATCTGACGTTTCGACCTTCAACCAACGTCGGGTCAACGTCGCTTGCTAGCTGGGTCTGTATATGACAGTACCAATGTGAACACAGGTTTAATTCCAGTCATTAAAAAACATAAGATAAGTATATTTAATGCATGTTAAAGGGGACTCAAGTGTTCATCAAGGAGTGTTAATTAAATAATTCCATATCATAAAAAGTCAATCATTGAAACAATAATCAGAATATGTTTCATACATGTGAATAGGGTTTTAAAGTAGGACATTATAGTATAGCTACAGAAGATAATAAAAGTCTTCAATTAATACTAAGGATTTTCATGCATTAAAGAGAACATTTCTGTTAATATTTCTACTTTCCCCTTTCTGGTTAAAAGCTCTGTCTAGATTATCAAATTTTACTTGACAAAAAATTGCTGTATGCCCATATATATAGTCATGATGTGCCTAGTGTATATGGTAATGATGTCATGTCATCATGACAATTATTAAGCATGTCACATGATTATTTCTGTCAAATAAAAGTCTGTAGAGAGAATTAATGTATTGTTGATCATCATTTTGTTCAATTCATGCTTGTTGCTGGCTACAATACAGTAATGCTACATTTAGGTAAACTCACACAGTAGTTATTTACATTATTCTAAATGAATTATTAAGTTTCCAATGAATTCTAAATAATTATATGATGTTCTATATTCTAAATTTCGATTTCAGTTTTTAAAAATAATGTACATAGTTTTATTATAACATTATTTTCTATGTGTAACTCTTATACAAATATTAAGTTCTCTGAGTAGCATCTAACATATTTCTGTAGGAACTGATATATCTTCACAACTTTTTCAAAAGTTGTCTTATACCTGAGCAAATGGGGCTGTTAAGTGTAACAAGTTTCCTGTACGAAACAAACTGCTGATCTATATACTGCAATTGATTGAAGGTCATTAAAAATATAAATCTATATTGCGTGTTTGTTTCCAGACATTTAAACACCTTAAAAACCAATTGGTTTATATTTTTGTGCAGATTAATATAAACACTTCCTGGTACTTCAGGATTTGCTCACCATTGCCATTTGAATAGTTTTGATCCGAATTCCAAAGGGAAATATCAATATACCTAAGGTTCGTGGAAAATAAATCTCTTTGGAATTATGTTTACACAAGCATTACAAAGGAACTAATCTTAATAGAACTGATCCAGATACTTCATTAATTCATTAATTAACAATCTTTTTTTATTGCAGGTAAACTAGTGTATTGTAAGTTCATATCAAATTCAGATTTTTACTAATCTTATTACTTATCTTTGTATTTGTATACTCTTTTCTATGTTTTCATACTTTTCATATTTAAAATTCCCTTTTTTAATTTTATATTTATATAATAATTATTTCATTAAAAATATTTTGGAATGTTAAAAATTTATTTGCAATAATTATTTTAATAAATTTTGTTTATACTATTTTTATAATAAAAATAAACCAAATAAATTTATAGATTTACGTGACATAAAGTAATCTTTTATCTCAAATATAAACCAGCTTAAGATATGGCACGCACACTAGCTTTAAGAGGGCTTAGAAGGAATGTCTAAAATGACTGCTACCATAACTTACGCAGAGCTATGATTAAAAATATTTGAGATAAAAATATAGTTTATATTAGAAAATATTAAATAATTTCATTCATTGGGTTCATTATTTGCCACATGTGTTCTTTGAGAATTGAGAGACAAAATATTCAAAGCCAATGGTGTATAATAAAATCAAGTTATTGCTGTTTAGGTCAGAATCTATTAAAACTTTTCAGATTAGCACAAAAAGTCAAGATCCTGTTTGAGAAACAAGTGGACATGAAAGGGGAACTGTAGGGAAACTAAGCAAAGAGGAGTGGCCACGACGAGGGAAGTAATGGAGGAAAGTGATCAAATGTCTGGTGAAGGTGCACTCACACCTTTTCCAAGAAAATCGGTTTAATGAGTAACAACAGGGACGCCAACATTCAAAGTATCAGAAACGCAGATGTTTACTTAGTTCCACAATGATAGCGAAATGATCCCTAGCATCGTGGTAACCTCCTACTCTTCCAAAAGATGCAATGGTTTCTTTAGAATACACACAAAACCATTTTAAGAAAAGACTTGATTATATCAACCACTCCCTTGTTGGGGAGCAGCTTGAATCAGCGCTGATGTTAAGGCTATAGTTAGCGCCGTGCCTGCCTAAATAGAGCATTTACTTTGGTGTCGAAAAAAATAAAATTTACTAACTACACATATTGCTTGTACCATGAAAACACTGGAGTAGATATACCTGTGCTTCACTATACAGTATTTTCAGAACAATATACTTTCATTTTCGTAACATATTTCAGAAAGTATATTTGTCATACTACAGTATAGTAAAAATTATGAATAATGGTAGTAAACTGATAAAATCGTATACCTAATGATAAATTAAACTACGTACGCCAAAATTATCAAAATTATCTCACATGTTTAATTGGCTTGTAATCATTAATGATTTTTGTGATTTTATACTTTTCAATGAGCTTTTCAATGATTTGGTTCAACCCGTGGGAGGGTCAATTTAATGAGAGCATACAAGGTAGCGTATTACTCACCATATCCACAAATATAGGCATCATAACCAGCTTCATGATAATGTTTCTCCTCACCTAAAATAACAATAATCAAAACAAGCAATGATTCCAACATTCTTCAAACCTTTATTGGTATTTTTGGTTGTTAACCCTTGTCACAATTGTCAGGGATGAATTTTGTAATTCTATCCTCTCAGAGCATTATTATTTTGTAATGCTATAGCCTTTTCAGTTATTAATATTTTGTAATTCTATATCCCAGGCAATTTTTAGTAAGATCCTAATACAAATTTTGAGAGAGCATACTTGCTGGACTCTATAGCTCATTCAGTACACAAATCCTACTTGGTATGATGAATTTATAGTCCAGCAAACTTTGGTTGGTTGCATTTTTTTTTGCTATATTTTTAAAAAATTGGATACGATGTAGAGTAGACATATATAAATCAAAAAAGTATGTGCGACATTTTTTTTTTTCATACGTAAGGGGGGTTACCAGCAGTTTCAAAATGGCCGCCAATTTTTCCTAAAATTGTCACTAATATTGTAAATTTATGTCATTAAAATGCAGTATTGAATTGGAAATCCACTCATAACAATGACAACAACAGTTAACTAAATATTGTACACATTTTTTAGCTATTACAATTTAAAATGGCTGCCATTTTCCATTATTTCAGCTTTTTAGCATACGTATATTAATAAAATAATAACCGACCTGTACTGTAAAACAAAAACGTGTGATAGAGCTAGTACATGCAATTGCCATATGCTATTATGATTAGTACCATAATATATATGATATATATATATATGTGTATATATG